AATACATCTACCTCCTTAATTAAATCTTCATAAAATGCTTCTGCCAAAACTGGCTTATAAGTATCATACCAAGACTTAATATGGCCAACAAGACCCCTTAATTCTCCCTCATTAAACTTTAACCTTTTCCCCTGAAGGCAGGCATGCTTGTTATCTAGTTTAAGCTGAATTTGTAATGCAAAATGATCACTTAGCATTTCATCCACAGTAAGACAATTCCCCTCTATGCCCTCAGCATTTATTAATCAAGCATAATCTAATCTCCCTCCCCTCAAATGAGTAGGAGAGAGCTCGCCCAGCAGTTGAACATCTTCATGTTCCTGCAAAAACTGGTACCATCTGCAACCATTCCTCTTTGCTTTACCCCTTGATCCTAAAGCTGGATGTCTGGCATTAAAATCCCCTACCACAAGTGTATCTTCAGAAAAGAAGGAATCTGGCAAGTATCTTAAATCAAGGGAGCTATCAGAGATGTATAGATTAATGAAATTTAACTCTCGGTCCTTTAATTGTATCCGCAAGCTAATACTTTCAATACCTCTATATCTCTGAGGGATTCCAGTTATCTCGGCAGGTATGATACTTTTGACATAACATGAGACCCCCCTAGTTCCTCCATCAGCATATAAGTGAAAGCCTCTATAGCCATTTAGCCTCAGAATGCTACCATCCCTATCCCCAGTTTCCTGGAGTGCTTCTATGTCAATATTCTTTCTAAGAGTATAATAGTGTACATCCACCGCTCTAGTTTTTAATCCGTTAATGTTCCAAGATAATATTCTCAATTTACTTTCATCCATGATTAATACTAAAACTACCTTTGCCCTGTCCGTCACATTCCATGAGATACGAGAGTACTTTAGAAACTTCCTTCCAACACCCTAACATTTTTTCTTTCTCCTCACTTTCACAACTACTACTAACATCGAAGGTAATATTATTCATACCTATTTTCTTTGTTATTTCTGTAACCCGTTTTACTTTAACCGTTCTTTCACCATTTGTCACAACAGGAGGTTGAACACCGCAAACACTACTAGAAAGTGTATTCTCCTGACTATCCTCTATCATCGTTACCTCATGCACATCATTACTTTCTTCTACGCACGTTTCACTTTCCATTTCACGTCCCGTTTTACTTTCAATTACTCTCTCCGTCCCTTTTTCCCACACATTGATCATAGGGGCAGTCGTTGGCTTCCAACTGTTTCCTCCATGTTCCTCTTGCACAATCTTTCCTTGCTGCGAGGATACATCTATCCTGCTTGTAAGACCCGTCCTAGTCTCTTTCAGATGAGGCTTCATGGGGCATAGAGAGGAACCAGCATTGTGGCTGCGTCGACAGTTGCAACAAAATGGGACGATTTTTTCACTTCTTTCAATCTTGACTCTACACTCTCGCGAGTCGTGTTTTTTCCCACAGTACCGACACCTGGGGTCAAACTGGCATTTCCATGCCATATGTCCCCAACGTGAACACTTCATGCACAGTACGGGCTCCTCAACGTATTTTGCAACGTTCCTATAGCCTAGTCCTTGCACAAAAATTTTCTCCGGCACCTCACCCTTTACCAAGGCAACAACCTGTCTTTGTTTGTCACCACGAACACTGTTCCTCTTTGCCCAGACAACATTATCATTGTTAAGAAAAAGACAGTCAGGATCTAAATAAGTTGGAAACTTGAAAACTATGATCTTTGTGTGCAACATACCTTCTTCTGGAGGAACCATCACTACATTTTCAAAACCAACCGTCGTGAGGCGTTCCACGGCCTGTTCAGTCCCAACTGTTATGTAGGGCCGGTGAAGACCCTCCTTGAAGAGTGGTTCGTATTCCAAACATTGTTTAGCTAGACGTACCGTCCACTCTAGCTTTTGGTGGAAATTCAATTGGCATGTTGTAGGGAACAACAGCCTCTTCCTTCTAGTAAATTGCTTGTCTTGAGTCTTGCTGAGTAGGGTCTCATTCTTTGGTCTCTTTGTAATTTCATCGTCACTCTCACTGTCTCGCTGTCTGTTATTATTTCTCCGTTTCTTTCTGTTCACTATTACTTCAAACGGTCTGTTATCCTCTTGTCTGTCCTCCTCACTACCACTTAGGCATAGCGCCTGAGCCATTTCTTCGACGCTGTCAATAATCGAGAACAAATTCACAATATCCTGTATCACCACGTGCAAAAACGAAGAGTGTGGGGCAATACTCCACCTCTTGGCGTCCGCTGACCATTCACACCTCACCTGGCCACTCACATCAACTAGCCTGACCAACTAGCCTATCACCTCGCCTCCACAACTAACATCACCTCGCCTCCTCCACTCACATAACCTCGGCTCAATCACTCACATCACCTCGCCTCTACTACTCACATAACCTCACCTCCACCACTCACATCACCTCGCCTCCACCAGTCACATAACCTCCACTCACAACCTCGCACCACCACCCTCCAACTCAACCTCGCCTCCAACACTCTCATAACCTCGCCTCCACCACTCACATAACCTCAACTCCACCACTCACAAAACCTCGCCTCCACCACTCACATAACCTCGCCTCCACCACTCACATAACCTCCCCTCCAACACTCACAAAACCTCGCCTCCAACACTCTCATAACCTCGCCACTCCACCTCGCCTCCACTCACACTCACATAACCTCAACTCCACCACTCACATAACCTCGCCTCCAACACTCACATAACCTCGCCTCCACCACTCACATAACCTCGCCTCCAACACTCACATAACCTCGCCTCCACCACTCACATAACCTCGCCTCCAACACTCACATAACCTCGCCTCCAACACTCATATAACCTCGCCTCCACCACTCACATAACCTCGCCTCCACCACTCACATAACCTCGCCTCCAACACTCACATAACCTCGCCTCCACCACTCACATAACCTCGCCTCCACCACTCACATAACCTCGCCTCCAACACTCACATAACCTCGCCTCCACCACTCACATAACCTCGCCTCCACCACTCACATAACCTCGCCTCCAACACTCACATAACCTCCCCTCCACCACTCACATAACCTCGCCTCCACCACTCACATAACCTCGCCTCCACCACTCACATAACCTCCCCTCCAACACTCACATAACCTCGCCTCCACCACTCCATAACCTCGCCTTCACCACTCACATAACCTCGCCTCCACCACTCACATAACCTCGCCTCCACCACTCACATAACCTCGCCTCCAACACTCACATAACCTCGCCTCCAACACTCACATAACCTCGCCTCCAACACTCACATAACCTCGCCTCCAACACTCACATAACCTCCCCTCCACCACTCACAAAACCTCGCCTCCAACACTCACATAACCTCGCCTCCACCACTCACAAAACCTCGCCTCCACCACTCACATAACCTCGCCTCCAACACTCACATAACCTCGCCTCCACCACTCACAAAACCTCGCCTCCAACACTCACATAACCTCGCCTCCACCACTTACAAAAACCTCGCCTCCACCACTCACATAACCTCGCCTCCACCACTCACATAACCTCGCCTCCACCACTCACATAACCTCGCCTCCACCACTCACATAACCTCGCCTCCACCACTCACATAACCTCGCCTCCAACACATCCTCGCCTCCACACTAACCTCGCCTCCACCACTCACATAACCTCCCCTCCAACACTCACATAACCTCGCCTCCACTCACATAACCTCCCCTCCAACACTCACATAACCTCGCCTCCACCACTCACATAACCTCGCCTCCACCACTCACATAACCTCGCCTCCACCACTCACATAACCTCGCCTCCAACACTCACATAACCTCGCCTCCACCACTCACATAACCTCGCCTCCAACACTCACATAACCTCGCCTCCAACACTCACATAACCTCGCCTCCAACACTCACATAACCTCGCCTCCAACACTCACATAACCTCGCCTCCAACACTCACATAACCTCCCCTCCAACACTCACATAACCTCGCCTCCAACACTCACATAACCTCGCCTCCACCACTCACATAACCTCGCCTCCACCACTCACATAACCTCGCCTCCAACACTCACATAACCTCGCCTCCAACACTCACATAACCTCGCCTCCAACACTCACATAACCTCCCCTCCAACACTCACATAACCTCGCCTCCACCACTCACATAACCTCCCCTCCGACTGGCACATAACCTCGCCTCCAACACTCACATAACCTCGCCTCCACCACTCACATAACCTCGCCTCCAACACTCACATAACCTCGCCTCCAACACTCACATAACCTCGCCTCCAACACTCACATAACCTCGCCTCCAACACTCACATAACCTCCCCTCCACCACTCACATAACCTCCCCTCCACCACTCACATAACCTCCCCTCCACCACTCACATAACCTCGCCTCCAACACTCACATAACCTCGCCTCCAACACTCACATAACCTCGCCTCCAACACTCACATAACCTCCCCTCCACCACTTACAAAAACCTCGCCTCCATCACTCACATAACCTCGCCTTCAGCACTAATGTGTTGCGTCCAGTTTTCAAAATGTTTCGTTCACTAGAAACAGCAATGTTGTCGGAATGGTTTTGTTATTTTAGATTTTCCTTGCAACGTGTTTGGAGAAAATCACAGTACCTCTCAGCAATGTTGTCGGAATGGTTTTGTTGTTATTTTAGATTTTCCTTGAAAGAAAAGCGTGTGAAACTATGTGTAAGTGATCAATTTCAAGAGGAGTTCCAAATGTTTGTTTCAATATGATTCGTACATAGTAATAATTGTTGTTCAAGGTACATTTCCAATTGGATCATAGCATTAAGGCATAATGCAAGATCACTCAGCAGGAAGGTTCCAACAGTACAGAGTAGATAAAGATAAAATCATCTCAGTTTTGCTCCCCCCCCCCCCCAAAAAAATACATGGGCGCTCCTTTCCTACCTCTGTCACTCCACCCACTTATTCCTCCCTGCAAAATCCTCCACCTCCTCGTCTTCAAGCTCCACCTACTCGCCCTCAAACTGTTCCCCTTTCGCGTCCTCAAAGTCCACCTCCTCGCCCTCAAACTCATCCACCTTCACGTCCGCGTCCTTAAGGTCCACCTTCTCGCACTCAAACTCCTCCAGCACCACTTCTTCGTCCTCAAAATACACCTCCTCACCCTCATGCTCCTTCACCTCCACCATCGCGACCTCAAGCTCCACCCCCTCACCCTCAATCTTCTCCACTTCCACCTCCGCGACCTCAAGCTCCACCTCCTTGCCCTCAAACTCCTCCACCTCCATCTCCGCGTCCTCAAGCTCCACTTCCTCGCCCTCAAGATCCTCAACCTTTACCTCCTTGTCCTCAAGCTCCACTTCCTCGCCCTCAAGTTCCTCCACCTTCGCATCCCTCAAGCTCTTACTCCTTGCCCTCAAGCCACACTACCTCTACCTCCGAGTTCTTAAGTTCCACCTCCTCACCCTCAATCTCCTCCACCTCCACATCTGCGTGCTTAAGCTCCTCCTCCTCCTCGCCCATAAGCTCCTACGCCTCCAACTTCGCGTCCTCAAGCTCCACCTCCTGGGCCTCAAGCTCCTCACCTTCCACCTTCGCGTCCTGAAGATCCACCTCTTCGCCCTCAAGGTCTTCAACCTCCACCTTCAAGTCCTCAAGCTCCACCTCTTCGCCCTCAAGGTCTTCAACCTCCACCTCATCCTCAAGCTCCACCTCTTCGCCCTCAAGGTCTTCAACCTCCACCTCATCCTCAAGCGCTATCTCCTCGCCCTCAAGCTCTTCAACCTCCACCTTTGCGTCCTCAAGCTCAACCTCCATGCCCTCAAGCACCTCCACTTCCACCTCCGCGTCCTGAAGATCCACTTCCTCACCCTCAAGATCCTACAACTCCACCTTCGAGTCCTTAAGTTCCACCTCTTTGCTCTCAAGCTCCTCCACCTATGTCGGAAATTTCCGACACCCCAAATACTAACCACTAGTACGATAATATAAATTTATTGTGTTAGGAAGTTAAATTTACTAACATTACTAACAAGTAGAGTAGTGCCGCTAAATTCTTCCTACTATACATGGCCGCTATTACATCAGCCGCCCAGTTCCTATGAGAACATACTCTTTATTCAAATCTAATTGAATCCAGTCTAACCTTTGTTTAATTTGCTAGGTAATTTAGATTGGAAATTGATTTACTTCATTAACATAAAATATTCCTCCATATCTTGGTAGAATTTTCCACAGCCACGATCAGTTGATTACGGTTGAATAAAAGTCACGAACTATATATATCATTTATGCATATGTGTTTTTCCTCTAATGACACTTCAGTTCAATAATATAAACAACGGGAAACCGTTTGCTGATGCCTGAAGTGCATTATTACGACGTAAAATAGCGTCGGCAATGTCTTATTAGATAATAAGACAGAATAAAATATCTTGACTTGTATGAGGAGATTATGCACAGATAGGAAGGCAGAGGGCGCGCGCGTCACTTGCACGGCGGGAACCATCTTGGCTAGTGTCCCGAGAAGCTTGCTACTTAGTATCACTTTAATCTAGGATCATCCGTGCAATAACGAGTCTCACGCGCTGCTACCTGCTTCATCTAACATTGGGGATTCTACGTTCAGTCGGATAAGTTAATCTAGTCATTCTTTATGGCCATAAGAGTGTTAAATTATCCGATCGTTAGGACATAGGAACATGAAATAAACCTAGTGAGTTTAATCCCGTAAATCAGTCGATCCCTTCAATGGAAATTAGTTAATATGACTGTAGTTCAATAGAAATTACAATGAATGTTTTTCACAGCGTGGAGGTATATCTGCCAGAGCGGGTCATCTCAACTGGGGAATCATGTGTCTACGACGCCATCACGTTGAGACAGGATTATATTGATTTCGGAAGGCTGTCAGACGCACTTCTCACTATCTGCTCAACAGTTAGGCTGATCAACGTTTACTTATGATATTGTAGTTAGTTTACTAACTCTATAACAATTATTTACTTGTGAGATTCATTATTGAAAATTTGCAATATATTACATTTATTAGGTAGATCTAGCAGTATTAAATCTACCCATCCCCCCAAATTGTGTGGAAGTGGGAGCATCCAACTAACTATTAAATCTTATACAATCCACTCATGCAGTATATTCAACCAAATTATTTAATTAATTTATTATTATAGTAAACTATATGTTGGAAGAATTTCTCCCACAACCTCCACCTCATCGCCCACAAGCTCTTCCCACTCTCCTTCCTCAAACTCCAACTCCTCGCCCTCAAGCTCCTCCACCTCTGCGTCCTCAAGCTCCACCTCCTTGCCCTCAAGCTCCTCCACCTCCACCTCTGCGCCCTCATGCTCCTCCACTCCAACTCTGAGTCCTCAAACTCCACCTCCTCCGCGTCCTCAAGCTCCACATCCTAGCTCTTAAGCTCCTTCACTACCACCTTCGCGTTCTTAAACTCCACCTCCGCGTCCTCAAGTTCTACATCCACCCCCTCAGGCTCCTCCACCTCCGCGACCTCAGTCTCCACCTCCACTATTTGTGGATTATTTTGGTAATGCTTAGGATTTGGATTATTGTACTTGTTATTTATAAAAGACAGATAGTAAAAAAAAATCAATAAATTTAGCTGCTTATTTTTAATAATAAATTTATTTTTGTTGTTTGCATTATTAATAACTTTTTATTCAAAAAAATTATTTGATGTTTTATTTAAGGTTTGAGAATTCTTTAATTCCTACTTTAATTTTGATTTTCGGATGGGGGTACCAGCCTAAGCGAATTCAAGCTGGTATTTATATATTGTTTTATACTTTGTTTGCTTCTTTACCTTTATTAATGTCTTTAATAAGATTATATATAGTAGGAGGAAGTTTAACAAAAGGGTTGGTTACGTTTGGTATAAGAGAAGTAAGTATAATTAGTATTTTACGGTATTTTTCCCTATGTGAGCATTTGTAGTAAAACTACCAATATATTTGTTTCCTTTATGACTTCCAAAGGCTCATGTGGAGGCGCCTGTATTAGTTAATTAATTATTATTAAATTTTATACCTTCTTTAGGTCGGTGGTGATTTTTATTAAATATTAGTAACACAGCACTTCCTCCTACATTAAATTTATTAGGAGAGATTAATTTATTTATCAGGATAGTTAGGTGAAGAAAGGTTAGAATAAATAAGTTAATTGAATTATCTTTTTTTAGTGCAGCTTTTACGTAATATTTATATTCAGTTAGACAACATGGAACGTTTTTTTAGGTAATTATATGCATGTTATTCTGGAAAGTTGAGGGATTATTATGTGTTGAATCTTCATGGAATTTCTTTAAATATAATAATTTTAAAGAGATTTGTAGTGTTGTAATTAATTTAAATAGTTAAAAAAAACGTTGATTTGTGGTGTCAAAATTATAAGGGTTTATTTTAAATAGTGATATGGAAATCCTCTATGCACTTAGTTTTTTTTTTTTTTAGTTAGGGATTCTTTGTTATGGTTAACTATATCTTTAATAATATTGCAGGGTTTATTAAAGTATGTAGTTGAATGCTCAAGCTCCTCCACTTCCACAACTGTGTCCTCAAACTCCACCTCCTTGCCCTCAAGCACCTCCACCTTCACCTTCGCGTCCTCAAGTGCATCGCCTCGCCCATAAGCTCCTACAACTCCACCTCGGCGTCCTCAAACTCTACCTCTGCGCCCTCAAGCTCCTCCACCTCTGCGTCCTTAAGTTCCACCTCCTCCCTCCAATCTTCTCCACTCCACCTCTACGTCCTCAATCCCCACATCCGCCCAACAAGCACCTCCACTTCCACCTCCTCGCCCTGAAGCTCCTGAACCTCCACATCCACCTTCTCAAGCTCCCCCTCCACGCTATCATTCTTCTCCACATCCGCGTCCTCAAGCTCCACCTCCCCTCCAAGCTTCTCCACTCCAGCTCCGAGTCCTCAATCCACACTTCCGCCCAAGAAGCTGCTCCACCTCTTCGTCCATAAACTACACCTCCTCACCCTCAAGCTCCTCCAAATCTGCGTCCTCAAGCTGTACCTCCTCGCCCTCAAGCTCTTCCCTCTCCGCGTCTTTAAGTATCACCTCCTAGAGCTCATGCTTCTCCACCTACACCTTCGCGTCCTCAAGCTCCACCACCTCCTCCGCATCTTCAAGCTCCATTCTCGACCTCAAGCTCATCCACTTCCACCTCCTGGTCCTCATGCTCCACCTCTGCGCCCTTAAGCCACACCACTTCTACCTCCGCGTCCTTAAGTTTCACCTCCTCGCCCTCAATCTACTCCACCTCTACATCAGCGTTCTTCATCTCCACCTCATCGCCCTCAAGCTCCTCCACCTCCGCTTCCGCGTCCTCAAGCTCCTCCACCTCCACTTCCACATCCTCAAGCTCCACCCTCTCTTGTGCAATATTGAATCTTAAATACGATATCCAGTTTGTACATACCAGTACTAACATTCAGAAGGTGTGGACGCTGACTTGGGTAGACTCAATCAAATTCAGGTGCCGGTTGCGCAATATATCAACCTTCATCAAACAGTCTCAAATATTTTGTGCATAATCTGCATTGTAGACGCTTCAACGTTTTCTAATGGATCAATATCAATACATGAACCGGAAAAAATATTTAGATTTTGTAAAAAAAAAAAAAAAAATTGAAATTTCACAATTTCAAAGTTAGATATTGAATTTAATATTTCACCAATTCTTATTTTATTCATTATGGGCTCAGAATGACATATATCGGTCATTTCCCTAAATATAAATTTTAGTTTGAGAGTATAGTTACTGGAAAACAATTGTCAATGGGGTTATCTTGAGATCTTGAGATGATTTCGGGGGCTTTTTAGTGTCCCCGCGGCCCGGTCCTCGACAAGGCCTCCACCCCCCAGGAAGCAGCCCGTGACAGCTGACTAACACCCAGGTACCTATTTTACTGCTAGGTAACAGGGGCATAGGGTGAAAGAAACTCTGCCCATTGTTTCTCGCCGGCGCCCGGGATCGAACCCAGGACCACAAGATCACAAGTCCAGCGTGCTGTCCGCTCGGCCGACCGGGGTATTTAAAATATTCGCCAAAATTTAGATTAAAAAAATGTATACCTCCCAAAATTATGGGTTTTTGAATAAACGCTATTGAGGAAACCTTATAACTAAGAACTTTGCATATTATATGTAAAAATTGGCGAGAATTGCGCAGAAACTGAATTTGGCAGCTTGTCTCAGAGTGGAAAATCTTCTTTATACAGAAAAATGAAGGAAAACATCTCGCCAATTAATATAGTGGTTCGAATGACAAGATCCAAGATCTTGTAAGTTTTAAGAAATATTACTTGGCATTCGTACTCGAATATTTGAGAGTTTTAGGCTAATATGTAAAGAAATGAAGAAATAACCTCCCAAAAAACAAACTATAGGGATAAGGATACAACCCGTTCTCGCAAATATAATAAGTCAATATTGACTTATTAGTTGCGTGCATAGGTGACATACTAAACATAATAGTTTCCCTTGAAAAGCTTCATAGAAAACACCGACCTTACCTAACCTACTTAGTATGTTAAAATAAGCATCTTATAGCTTCATAATTACAATTGTTACTTAACCTATTATAGGTATAGGTTAGGTAATAATTGTAATTATGAAGCAATAAGATGCTTATCTTAACATACTAAGTAGGTTAGGTAAGGTCGGTGTTTTCTATGAAGCTTTTCAAGGGAAGCTATTATGTTAAGTATGTCACCGGGGAGCCGGTCGGCCGAGCGGACAGCACACTGGACTTGTGATCGTGTGGTCCTGGGTTGGATCCCAGGCGCCGGCGAGAAACAATGGGTAGAGTTTCTTTCACCCTATGCCCCTGTTACCTAGCAGTAAAATAGGTATCTGGGTGTTAGTCAGCTGTCACGGGCTGCTTCCTGGGGGTGGAGGCCTGGTCGAGGACCGGCCCGCGGGGACACTAAAGCCCCGAAATCATCTCAAGATATGCACATATTTAATAAGTCAATATTGACTTATTAAATTTGCGAGAACGGGTTGAAGGATAATGGGTTAGTGGATATATAAGTGTTATTTATGTAAGTAATGAAGCCCACATATGGTCCTTTCAACAAAAACAACCTAAAGAAACAAAGAAAACAGAGTTTGATTTCTGTGAATAACTCGGCCAAAAAAATAAAAGTCTCAAGTTCTGCCACCTGTGGCTGATTTACATGTCGATCAATTTCGTTCTAACTCTACATACGTATTGACGGGTATGCATTCTTCAAGATGTAGAAGCCTCAACATTATCAGATGAGAAACTAGGGAGAAAAAGCAAAATTAAAAAAGCAAAAAAAAAATCCCCCCTCAAAAAAAACAAACATTGATAGTCATCAGAAATATTGCCATTGGGCAATGTATGTACATGATATATAATAAAATTCAGCAATATACCATACTTACTCATTATTATTTGTGTGAAATTTCGTCTTCCAGTTGGCAATCAGCAATCCTCGCAGGCACCATCTGCAGATCCACTTTGACTCTCCTTACTTCTCCTCTTCATTGTGTGTCGGACAGGTTCTTGTATCACTTTATCGCTGCATTATTTATGAGTTCCAATAACTAGGAGTGTTATTCTTATCATCAATACTGGTTGCGCACACTTTTTTTAATTGTATAAAATCCACTTCTTACCTTATTAGGATGAAATTTTCACGACGCTGATGCTAAATAACGTGGGATTTGTTTAACAGTTTTCACTGTTTTTCATATATGAACGAATATTTTTGAGCTCCCGGCCCCTTTGGTTCAACTTTGGTTCAACGAAGCCACTGCAGCAGGTAATACTTTTCACCCCTCCACTATGTATGACTAGCTCTTGACGTATAATTATAGTCAATATTTTTGGCCTTTCTCAAGGTGTCAAGAACATATCTTGGGTATTGAAACTTGGTGGCAATTCCATAATTCTTGGTTATTTTCTCATCAATAAATGTTGGATTACATACTAGTAATATTCTAAATAACATGGCTGAAAACATAGAATGTTTGAACTTAATGGGGTAATTTGACAAATAATGTTCATATGAACAATGAACTTACCAGGACGACCCCGAAACGTCGTGGTTTCTTCGTTTTCTGACCTGAGGTTTGTTCATCCTACATGCATATAATTCATACAAGCAATATTGTGCGTGTGTGTGTGTAGGGGATATAAGTGGCACACTGTCCGGCACGTCCTAAACTTCACATAAACCACACGTGTGCCCTAACATCAATCTTTTCATTTATAACGCTTCACTGGAGAAATGCAAAGAGCCAAAAAAATTCAGTAAAACTATATTTTTGAGCGATAACATAAAATTAGAAATATTTTCGTGTTACATGATATCTGGATAGGTTCATCATGGTAGATTTTTAGACTCCCTATTGCAGACTAAAGACATCCAGAGACACATTAGGTAGAGATCTACCTGTGGTGACACCATGGAGTCACACCTACCAGTGGTGGCACCATGGAGGCTCACCTACCAGTGGTAGCACCATGGCGTCTCAACTACCAGCGGTGGCACTATGGAGTCTCACCTACCAGTGGTGACACCATGGACTCTCACCTACCAGTAGTGGCACCATGGAGTCCCGCCTACCAGTGGTGGCACTATGAAGTCTCACCTACCAGTGGTGGCACCATGGAGTCCCGCCTACCAGTGGTGGCACCATGGAGGCTCACCTACCAGTGGTGGCACCATGGCGTCTCAACTACCAGCGGTGGCACTATGGAGTCTCACCTACCAGTGGTGGCACCATGGACTCTCACCTACCAGTGGTGGCACCATGGAGTCTCACCTACCAATGGTGGCATCATGGAGTCTCACCTACAAGTGGTGACACCATGGAGTCTCACCTACCAGTGGTGGCCCCATGGACTCTCACCTACCAGTGGTGGCACCATGGACTCTCACCTACCAGTGGTGGCACCATGGAGCCTCACCTACCAGTGGTGGCACCATAGAGTTCCACCCACCAGTGGTGGCACCATGGAGTCTCATCTACCAGTGGTGGCACCATGGAGTCTCCTATCAGTGGTGGCACCATGGAGTCTCACCTACCTGTAGCCTACTACCACTATCGCTCACCCCACGAGAGCGCTGCAGACTCTTAAATCAAGGGTGCTATCAGAGATGTATAGATTAATGAAATTTAACTCTCGGTCCTTTAATTGTATCCGCAAGCTAATACTTTCAATACCTCTATATCTCTGAGGGATTCCAGTTATCTCGGCAGGTATGGTACTTTTGACATAACATGAGACCCCCCTAGTTCCTCCATCACCATATAAGTGAAAGCCTCTATAGCCATTTAGCCTCAGAATGCTACCATCCCTATCCCCAGTTTCCTGGAGTGCTTCTATGTCAATATTCTTTCTAAGAGTATAATAGTGTACATCCACCGCTCTAGTTTTTAATCCATTAATGTTCCAAGATAATATTCTCAATTTACTTTTATCCATGATTAATACTAAAACTACCTTTGCCCTGTCCGTCACATTCCATGAGATACGAGAGTACCTTAGAAACTTCCTTCCAACACCCTAACATTTTTTCTTTCTCCTCACTTTCACAACTACTACTAACATCGAAGGTAATATTATTCATATCTATTTTCTTTGTTATTTCTGTAACCCGTTTTACTTTAACCGTTCTTTCACCATTTGTCACAACAGGAGGTTGAACACCGCGAACACTACTAGAAAGTGTATTCTCCTGAGTGTATTCTATCATCGTTACCTCATGCACATCATTACTTTCTTCTACGCACGTTTCACTTTCCATTTCACGTCCCGTTTTACTTTCAATTACACGACCTGTTTCACCACCATCTTCACCCCGTCTACCTTCCATAGCCAATTTTTCCAATGCCTCAATCCTCTTATCTAGTTTTTTAGATACTCCAAAATTTGATTACCAACCTCAGAGGTGACCATATTGTCCTGAACCTTGTCGTCACAAGGTTTCAGTTTTTCCACTGCATGATGTACTTTCCCTAAGCTCGCCTTTACTTTCTCCGTCTCTTTTTCCCACACATTGATCATAGGGGCTGTCGTTGGCTTCCAACTGTTTCCTCCATGTTCCTCTTGCACAATCTTTCCTTGCTGCGAGGATACATCTATCCTGCTTGTAAGA